GCCTCTCCCGCTGCGGAGCACAGGCTCCGGACGCACAGGCTCAGCGGCCATGGCCCACGGGCCCAGCCACTCCACGGGGATCCTCCCGGACCGGGGCACGAACCAGCGTCCCCTGCCTCGGCAGGCGGGCTCGCAACCACCGCGCCACCAGGGAAGCCCTCTCCTGACTCTCTTGAGCACTTACCCACCACCAGAGCCAATCAAGTAACTCACTAGTGCCACAATCTCTCATCTGTCTCTAGTTTGCCACTTTACTTTCCACTGGCTATACTGTACCCAGAGTGATAGGTCTAAAATACAATTTTCATGTTGCTTGTGTAAATAAATCCTTAGGCTGGTACAATCTTAACACAGATCAAAAGCACTTGATGATCTATTGCACTACTCGTATCTCATCTGTGACCCATCTTCTCTTCCTGCTCTATATTCCAGCCGTAGGTATTAAAAAATTCTTTTTCAGTTCCTCAAATACAACAGTCCTCTCTCTTCAACTCTGGAACTCTGCATATGCTACTGATTCTCTCTGAAATACTTCTCTGCACCCCAGATCCCTCTGTCATTCCCTCCCAAAATGGAACCGGGTTTAAAGAGAACAAAAACAAAGATCTATCATTTGGCAGGCTACCGAAGAGGTTTATACAAAAGGTAGGTAGTAAGAGCCTGAATTAAGGTATTACAGTAGAAACACATGAAAGGAACATGAGAGAAATACCATATGAGAACATGAGAGAAATAAAAGCAAGCATTTTAGCAATCATGTGGTACTAAAACATGGTTTGTTGAAATAAGTCATTCTCTATGTGACTTCTATATTTCTTCAAACCAGATGAAATAATTCAAGAACACTGAGTTATATAAAATTAATCTTCAAATAGTAGACCAAGCTATTCTCTATGAATCATTTCTTACCTAATTAACAGTCTACTGGGTTAGAGCAGTGGTTTTCAAAATGTGGTGCCTTGAACTACCAGCAGCATTGGCATTACAGGGGAATTTGTCTGAAATGTGAATTACTGGAGCTCCACCCCTAACTTTCTGAATCAGAAACTCTAGGCGTAGGGCCCAGAAATCTGTACTGTAAGAAGCCTTCGGGTGATTCTGATGTAAGTTCAAGTTTGAAAGTCACAAGGTTAGGGGATACGGAAACAGTAGTAAACCAGTAAATATCATAACCACAACAAAACTCTCAGAAGGATGAAACAGCAGAAAGAACAAGTCAACAGTAATCGATAATCTACTCCCTGTCCCACTGAAGGGCACTGTAATGCACTCTGGGGCCAAAAAAAAAAAAAGAAAGTAAATATATTACTCATGATGCACACGAGTAATAATCTCGAGACTCTGATGAATATCACGCTGATAAAAGCCACTAAGGTACAGCCACCTTGAAGTGCTTATAAAATTAAAGAAATTATGGGTAATGAATTACAACCATGTTACTCATTATTTTGCCCACTCACTCAATACACATTTACTGAATACAACTATTATACAAGACATTACGCTAAGAGCGAAAGCTGTGATGAATAGGTTTTAAATGAAAGCAGAAGAAATTTCAAAAAGTCAAAGCTTTTCTTTTAAGTAATTTTGTTTGTTGCACTGGAATTCATTGCCAAGGAAGATTCTAAAGCAAAGGATAGTCAACTATGATTCTGTGTTTGTTACATATAAGACTACAATCAAATGCCAGGTGCTTTTTTAGTTGATCAGTTATAAATCCAATTAAACAAATTTCAGCATCTACACGCCTAAGACAATACTGATTCTGATCCTCAAAGGCGAATATTCAGTATCTATACATATAAAATATATATGCAACACATACATTTACACACTATATATATACACATGTATATATAACATATGTGAGCTTTAAGATGAAGAAACTCTTAACTAGTAAGAATTGACAGGGGTTAATTCTTCGGGGATATTACCAAGTCCCTTTTGGTCACCGCTGGTAATTTTATGGCATGAGTACCTCCTCTCCTCAATATGCTCATTTTTATAAGTCCTGTGCATCTGCATCATTCTCTCTTGGGAAGGGAAAATAAAGGCTTTGGAGTCAGATAAATATGACTTCAAATCCTTTTGCAGCTACTTAACTATCTGTGTGATTAAACGAGTTTTGTAAGCCTCAGTTTTTCATCTTTAAGAGAATTTTAACGATAGTTTCATAAGATTATTGTGAGAATTTGGTTTACTAACAAGTCCGCAATAGATATTTCATAAATGTTACACCCTAACTCCTTCTCTTTTTTAAAATGGCACCTCTTTTCCTCAGTACATTAATTATCCTCAAAGTCTCGACATATTTCACACTTACAACCAGAAATGGGACAATAATTACATTTGTGCTCTAAAGGCCCCTCCTTAGACACCTTTTGGCATTTCACAGATTCTTCTGAATATTTAAATACTGAAGTTGTAGTGCTGTGTACGGAAAAGACCTGCAGGGGGAGTTAGGAGACCCAAGTCTAGTTTCGTTAATACCAGCAAAGTAGCTTGGGCTTTATCTCCTTGGATTGGGATAATTTCTCATGAAAAATAAGTGTGGTAAGACAAAATAATCTCTAAGGCTTCTTTTCCGTCTTTAAAACTGTATGATTCTAATCTGGGGGGAGGAATTATTCTGGATCATCAGCAACTGGTCCCTGGGACCTGGAAATATAATACCTTATTTCAGAAGGGGTGCTCAAGATGGAAAAGTAAGACAAAGTAAGAAAAAGTAGGAGACAGCCAAGAGATCAACCCAGCTCAAAATACTGATATCTCTGCTTCCCCACATTTATCCTGCTGTAATTGTTTTAGAGTAGAAATGTCTTCTTGTGTACAAATTTATGAGACAGAATTTTTACTTCTTGTAACATATGTGGTCTCAATTATTAGTCCTTCTGGAACACTTTCTTAGTGACTCTGGTGATAAGTAACTGGTCTCTTTCTTCTTTGTTGTCTGTCACTTCTCCAAACCATCTAAAAACAGGCTTCTATCTAAACGGTCTGACCTATGAGTGTCAGCAAGATAATCTAAGAATTATCTATTTTTTTAAATCTCAATATTGCACATAGTGGCAGACACCTTTCACGTATTTGCCTGGCTAACAATTTATCTTTCTGTGAAAGGCAGCATTACTGACATTTCTACTCACTTCTATCAATATTTTCGCATTCATTTATTAAGAAATAACACTATTTCTCTAGGCCTTGGAGCAGCTCAAGTCATCTGATGATGTACGAGGAAAGTTTGTTTTTATTTCCGTTCAGTACAAAAAGATTTATTTCCACTGAGACTAGCTGGACCTTGCTTTATTTTATCCACCTCATCTTCACAGTTTTTCATACCAAATCAGTAAGTAATGCCAAGAAAAAGTAATATTTAACATTTCATATTTACTTTCCACTAACCATTCTTTCAGAGACCTAGGACGTAACCATGAGAGAAAATGAGAGCAAGAGATAGAGAGAAGCCCTACTTTCCTCCCAATTGCTACTCGTATTTTCCATATAAGACCTTACAAACTGATTTCTAAAGCAGTGATTCAGAGAGCCATTTCTTCAGCCTCCCAATTTTTCTCAACTATACAAAACATTTCCTTCAAAACAGTCATTCTCCTGTACTAGGCAAAAGGATATCATATTCATTTGTGAAAAACCCTCACTGTATAACCATAAAAATTTACAAAGAATTCACAATTTTAAGATGAAAAACTAATTTCATCTTAATGCAGGCTAATTTATGTAACACTCAAGATACATTAAGTATTTACTTCAATATTGTAATGTTAACATTTTAACCTTTATGCCCAATTTTCTCTCCAAGAAGTACGAATTAGATTTGCTTCTCAGTTGTCTGAGACAAGTAGAGAAAGAAACTGGCACTCGATCTATAGACTGACTTATGATTAGAAAAACCTTAAGGAAATAACCCAACAGATTAAAACATCAAGAAACTGAAGTTCAAAGGCAAAAGAATTACCTGTAATCATTCAAATTAAAATTTTTTAAAAACTCAAACAGTGAACACTATAAATCAGAAAGGACTTATTATGAAGACAGAAAAATTGCAATGGCAATGAAAAACAGCAGCTTACACTTACTGGGTTATCTGTGCAATCGTCAGCCAGCTGTAAACCAAAATAGTCACGCTCAGTCAAATCAAGGTGCCTGAAGACCATCTCCAACAGAACCTGCCCCTGATCATGTTTCTGGAAGAAAAGTAACAGGAAATCAAACTGACAGGCTACATCCTTTCAGATTTCGAAACTCTTGGACTCTCCTCTTTTATTAAGTTGGCAACTGGTTCCATGCCAACGACTTGGTTGAGCAATAAAGACTCCACATGTTACATCGTACTTAAAAAAGTCTGACTTTGGGCAAACTGGTTCAAGGGGTACATAATAAAGATGAAGATATAAGGGAAACCTTTGAAAATGTCTTCTGCTTTTAGGCTATTCTCGTGGCATTTTTGTAATTTTATATTGTTTGCACATTAACTCATGTATGTATGCATATCATTTGTCTTACTTATTCTTACCTTTAAATTATGGCTGGAAAGTGACATATTTGACTAAGTACAATTTAAAATTTGTGTGTATAAGATAGATAATGCCACAAAAAGGGAAATAAAACAGTGAAAATTATGTGCAGCAAACTGATAACATTCTAATTATCAAAGAATACAGAGAACTTGAGGAAAAGATCTCTTTTCAATCTCACACCAATTTTATAATGTGGGCATCATGCTGTGGCTTCCCTAAGTCCCGTAGCTACCAAGCTGTGGCACAAAGGGCATGATTGGAACTTTCCTAAAAAGAAATGTAGCTAATCACGGAAAACATTGAGAAACTGCTAACATGTTCAGCAATAAAAGAAATCACAGTGGGAAACCATAATGACACACCATGAACACACAACATTCCAAAAAGTAAAATCCAATAAGATAAAAAATACCTAATGCTGGATCTGCTGTATAAAAAATAAATTAATTAAATTAAAAAAAACCCTAACGCTGCTAACATTGTGGACAGGTATCATCTGTTGGGAAAGCACATTGGAAACATTAGCAAGAGCGGTAACAGTACTGGCTACTTCTGTCGTCCTAACCTGAGTGAAAAATAAAATCCAACTTTGGGAGAAACAGCTATACACCCCAATACATTCAGTGCAGTGTTATTTACATGAGACAAATACTAGGAAAACACATTAGCGAACAGTGGTGTATTTTTCCACCAATTTCGCCTCTCAATAGCTATGATAGTATGGTAGCTTCCAGCTACAAGTTAGAATCAAAACTCATAGCTGAAACGATAAGGACATAAGTATTTTTTTCATATAGCAGAAAGCAGAGAGATACGACAGACTCCAGAGTTGGCTAGTTCAGTAGATGAACGGTGTAATCAAGTACCAGGTTTCTTTCATCTCTCTAATCCACATTCCTGCGGTCAGCTGCATTCATAGCACATTCCTGCTGTCAGCTGCATTCATAGGCTGTTAGTGAGATGGTCAGAGCGATTTCAAAATTCACACCTGCAGATGACAATGTTCAAAAGAACAACCTTCCTTGTAAAGAGCTTCCCTTCACGTCTCAGTGTGTCAAATAGCTATTTCCAAAACTCATCAATGGCAGGAAGTATGTGCCTCAAACAATGCTTTACAATGGTGGTCCCCATTTGAAAAACCTGTGAACATTTTTTGTACTGATGCAGCTCACCTCCCCCACCCATCTCCCATTCTCATTAAATTGGCCCAGGGCGGAGATGGAGCATTAGTCTTTTTAAAAAGCTGCTAAGGTGAGCCTAAGGTACTCTTCTAGAGACAAGATGGAGTATATGCATTCCTCCCTATACCTCCAGCTGAGTGAAACCAACGAACAGCAACAACAAAATGCAGAAAAAATGTTTTTAAACTCTGAAAGATAAAAGTAGCAGCCTGGGGCTTCCCTGGTGGCGTAGTGGTTGGGAATCTACCTGCCGATGCAGGGGACACGGGTTTGTGCCCCAGTCCGGGAGGATCCTACATGCCGCGAAGCGGCTGGGCCCGTGAGCCATGGCCGCTGAGCCTGCGCGTCCCGCAACGGGAGAGGCCACAACAGTGAGAGGCCCGCGTACCAAAAAAAAAAAAAAAAAAAAAAAGTAGCAGCCTGGCTAGGGAACTCCTTGGGTTTTCTTTCCATTTCTTTTTATTGAGGTAAAATTCACATAATGTAAAATTAACCATTAAAAGTGTGCAATCCTTCTGCATTTAGTGCATTCACAATACTGTGCAACCATCATTTCTACCTAGTCCCAAAACATTTTCATCACACCAAAAGAATACTATACCATATCCATTGAACAGTATCTCCTGCCCCAGACCCTGGCAACCACTCATCTGCTTTCTGTCTCTATGGATTTACTTGTGAATATTTCATATAAATGGAATTGAACATGTGACCTTTTCTGTCTGGCTCCTTTCACTCAGCATTGTTTTCAAGGTTCCATGTTGTAGCATGTATCCACATCTAATCCCTTTATATGGTTAAATAATATTCCATTATATGAATATATCACAACTTGTTTATCAGTTGATGGACATTTGGGTTGCTTCCACCTTTTGGGTACTGTTGTTTCTGAGGCAGGAGATAGATGGGCCCCAGGCTGCGCAGCTGGAGTCTGCAAGACAGATACTCCAAGACAAAGATAATAGCGGGAGCAGAGAAGAGCTGAGTCCTGACCAGATAAGAGATAAAGATACCCCATTCCTTATTCTCGAGGTCAAAGAGACCCTCCTGACTACACACGCGCAGAACGGCTCCTCAGGAGTCAAAAAGGGAGGGGACGCCACCCATAGTAGGTGATGTCAACCTACCCATAGGCCTCTTTGCTAGAATCCACCTTGGCTAAGAGATGCGCGCGCACACAAGGGAGGACCCTGAGATAAACCAAATACGGACTCAAGAGCCAGGCAAAGCAAGATGACTGGCCAGAGGAAACCCAGAAGAAATGCCCCATAAAAGTGATTCAAACTACCACAAGGGCACAGCTCTTTCTCTAAGCCCATCTGTGTGTCTATCCACATGAACACTTTTTCCTTCTAATAAACACTTTACTTATTTCATTACTTTCTGTCTTTGTGGAAATTCATTTCTACAAAGCCGACAGGCCAGGGTCTTGTCACTGGCCACTGGCCTAGTGGCTAGGATTCAGTGCTCTCACTGCCACGCCCTGACTTCAATCTCCGGCTGGAGAACCAAAATCCTGCTTCAAGCCACTGAAGCTGGGGCCACCCGAGATACTTCCATCTTTTGGTAAAGGCGTACAAGTTATCTGTTTGAGTATCTGCTCTCACTTCTTCTAGGTACATACACAGAAGTGGAATCAATGGATCACATGCAAATTCTGTTTAACTTTTTGAGGAACCACCAAACACTTTTCCATAGCAGCTGTACCATCTGATGTTCCCACCAGCAATGCATGAGGGTTCCAATTGCTCCACATCCTTGCCAACATTTGTTATTTTCTATTCTTTTGATTAAAGCCGTCCCACTGGGTATGAAGTGGTACTTCACTGTGGTTTTGATTTGCATTTCTATAATAACTAATGATGCTGAGCATTTTTTTCATGTGCTTGTTGGCCATTTGTATATCTCTGGAGAAATGTCTAATAAAGCCTTTTGCCCATTTTTTAAAGTGGGCTAATAATCTCTCCATTGTTGTGTGTTGAGTTCCTTTTATATTCTAGATGCTAGACCCTGAACAGATATATGATTTGCAAATATTTTATCCCTTTTCATAGGTGTTTTTTCACTTTCTTGATCACATACTTGTATACACAGAAGTTTTAAATTTTTCTGAAGCCCAACTTATTCATGTTTTTCTTTTGATGCTTGTGCTTTCAGTGTCATAAGAATTCATTGCTAAATCCAAGGTCATAAAGAATTATTCATATATTTTCTTCAAAAAGTTTTATACTTTTAAATGTTACATGTAGTTCCTTCAGCCTGTTTATCTTTGTATATGGTAGGTATATAACCTAGGTAGGAATGCAATTTCATTCTTTTGCATGTGCATATCCAATTGTCCAAGCACCACTGGTTGAAGAAACTATTCTTTCCCCACTGAATGCTCCTGGTAACTTTGTTGAAAATCTGTTGACCATACATGTAGGGGTTTATTTCTAGACTCTCAGTCGAGTTTTCTTTTTACCTCACACATACCATAGACTTGGTACTGGAGAATCCTACAACCCAGAAACACCAACAGGCCCGATGGAAAGAGACCAAAAAAGCCTGCTTTCTCAAGCAAATGACCAGGAAAAGAGTCTCTAAGCAGGACAGAAACCTTACTAACAATGCTGACTCTAATCCTGCCACACCCAGTAGAAAAAAACTGAGCCCGTCTCCAGCAGCGCCATGGAAACCAAGCAGGGGCCTGGGGTTCCATGTGCCTCCTGGTACTGCTGGCAGCAAGTGGGAAGCCTGCTCTTCTACTCTCTGCCAGCCAACAGCACGCTGCAATACAGTCTCTCCCAGGGGTGGTATCAGCAGAAGCTGAGTGTGCAGTCTGAACCTCAGCCTAGCGGTAACAGGCAGTGCTCAGACGGCCCCATGGGAGTGGTGACAGCAGAAGCTGAGAGGGAAGCGTAGATTTCCACTCCCACCACCACCCAGAGGTAGCAGGTGGCATCTGCCAAACAGAAATAAACAGGAGGATTTGGGAGAGGAGGTAGGTAGAAAAAGGGACAGTTAAACCTTGAAGTAAAATCCAAATAAGGAACCACAAGTGAAACTGACCAAAATTAAAAGAGCAAAGGTTTAAAACTCAATTACAGTGTGGAATACGTGCAAAGTTTTCAGTAAGGTCTCTGGATAAAACACACACACACACACACACACACACACACACACACACGAAGTAGACCAAAAGAGTAATGCAAAGGTTCTGGAAACCAGATTGTTATTAGAACCACAACCCACAAAGGCAGGCCAGGACCTGGATACTACACCAGAGTGACTCCCTGCTACAGAGAAGATTCAGTATAATCCAGAGTCTCATGATACACTGCCCCAAATGTCCAGGATACTACCTAAAATCACTAATCATAACCTGAAAAATCTCAACTAGAATGAGAAAAAACAATCAACAGACACTAACACTGACATGACTCAGATGTTGGAATTACCTAACAAGTGTTTTGAAGCAGCCATCATATAAATGTTTCAATGAGC